ATCAACCATCGGGACAACCATCGGGACAACCATCGAATCAACCTATCGGGACAACCAATCGGGACAACCATCGGGACAACCATCGGGACAACAATCGGGATAGCTATCGGGACAATCATCGGGACAACCATCGAATCAACCATCGGGACAACTATCGGGACACGCATTGGGACAACTATCGGGACAACCATCGGGACAACCATCGAATCAACTAGCGGGACAACCAGCGGGACAACCATCGGGACACACATCGGGACAACTATCGGGACAACCATCGGGACAACCATCGAATCAACCATCGGGACAACCATCAGGACAACCATCGGGACAACCATCGGGACAACCATCGGGACAACCATCGGGACAACCATCGGAACAGCACCATCGGGACAACCATCGGGACAACCATCGGGACAAACGTCGGGACAACCATCGAAACAACACCATCGGGACAACCGTCGGGACAACCATCGGGACACGCATCGGGACAACTATCGGCACAACGATCGGGACAACCATCGTGACAACCATCGAGACAACCATCAGGACAACCATCGGGACAACCATCGGGACAGCCATCGGGACAATCTATCAAGACAACCATCGGGACAACCATCGGGACAACCATCAGGACAAACATCGGGACAACCATCGGGACAACCATCGGGACAACCACGGGAACACCAATCGGGACAACCATCGGGACAATACCATCGGGACAACCATCGGGACAACCATCGGGACAACCATCGGGACAACCATCGGGACAACCATCGAAACACGTACGGGACAACCCCATCGGGACAACCATCGAGACAACCATCGAATCAACCATCGGGACAACCATCGGGACAACTATCTGGACAACCATCGGGACAACCATCGAATCAACCATCGGGACAACCATCGGGACACGCATTGGGACAACTATCGGGACAACCATCGGGACAACCATCGAATCAACTATCGGGACAACCATCGGGATAACCATCGGGGGCCGCGCCCAGCCGGGGGGGTGTGGGGGGCGGGCGACCTTTTTGGCTCCATGTAGCCTCTAAAATGCAAGAACTCGCGCAGCTTCGCCCCGCCCGAACGCACGACATGAACCGACACCGAAAACGATTTCCCGATTGGGGCCACTTCCGCTCACAACCCCCAACCTCCGATCCCAAACCCTCGATACCCGCCCTCTTCGTCTTCGATCGGGGACCCTGGGGGATATGTTTTTTACCTGCAGTGTGAATTTCGTGCAGCCCCTAAGGCAGGGGAAGAGAGGACGGATGGAAGGAAGGGACAAGGGGGAAGGAGGAAGATTGAGCACGAGAGGGAGTAGCAGGGTGGCTCGGAGCAGAAAGCACGTGGCAGAACTAGACGGGCAGATCGGGCGGATAGACCCTAGCGGACGGGTCGGGAAGGCGGGCCCAGGCGGCCAGATCGAGCAGTTGCTGAAGCATGCGTCCTGCATGAATCGCGATGACGTCTCTAGCGATAGCGCGATTCCCGAGGAAATCATGAGAAAGGCCACAGCGAGAGCGTGATTCCTGAGTGTCGAGGGCGCGGCGTCTGAATAAACTGTGAGGAGGTCCCGCGCGAGAGCGTGCCTTTCGAATACACTGCCAGGGAGCATCAGGCGGGAGCCGTTGTTGTAACTCGGGGGCCAGGGGCCCAGCTTGAGCATGAGGGCGTTCCCTGGTAAAAAGCAGGATGCGAGCCCCGAGATGGGCACTCTAATTGAAACACATCCTGTGCACCGGTGGGGGATCAACAATGACGAACGAACAACACACACCCATACCCATAGGGGCGGTCGTTGGGAGGAGGACTCGCCATGGGTATGGGTGCGGGTTGTCGGACCCTGGGGAACGCTCCCGTTCGAGCGGGGACCCCCATCCGACAACACGTACCCATAGCCCTCTCCGACCCCCCTATGGGTATGTGTGTGTGTTGTTGGTTCGTCAAACAGTACTGATTGCAAACATGAAGCTTAAAAACAACAAGCCGCAGATATCAAACGGCAAGCAAATAGCGCCACGAAAGCCCATTTCAGCCACGCACCCAGGGACATTGAGTGACCGTTCGGCCCCCTCACTCTCATCATGCCAGCTGCGCCATTAGATCTGCCACAGGTTGCGCCACGCATCCCGCGGGCTACCAACTCGCGACTTTCTAGACGATTCCCAGCGCTCAATGGCGCAAACCGCTGCTGGTCCGTTGACGGCAAGTGTATGGGAAAGGTTTGCCTGTTCCCATCACTGGCCCGCAACGCTGCTCCTAACTGCTAGAAAACATGTGTGCGCATCTGCTGCTACTGCCATTCAACACTACGACCGTGCACCACTACAATATTGCCGCGCTGCTTGCACATGCGCGGTAGCGGAAATGAGCGCCAACGCAACTCTGCCGAGCGACGAGAACACGCTGTATCAAATCGCGCTCACCGAAGGTGCTCGCAGAGTGGTACCTGGACAGATTCTTCAGCACGCGACAGCAAGAGGCGCGACAGACAATGCCAAGCAATGAACCCCACGCCAAAATAAACATACTGCGAAAATCGCATTGCTGTCCAAATGGCCTCATGTTGCACCGATGCTGCACAGCCGCGGCGGATACGCTCAAAACACGCCGACCGAACTGGCGCACCAAGCAGCGCCCGCGGTGCAAGCGCCAAATGGCCAGACTGTGCCGCACTGGCGTGCAAGGCGAGCACCCCTGTCCGGGACTCGCACAGCGAACGTGGAGCCCAGCTGCCTGGGAACACACCCGCCGATGACCGCGCACGGAAGAGCGTGGCTTTCAACCATTGGGGAGGGAAGCGTCAAACACAAGCGCAGAAGCGTCCCACCACGCAGAATCGCCCGCGCCAACATTCCACGGCGCCCGCCTCCTGGCCAGGAGCACATCGTCACTCCCGCGTGTGAAAACATCAGTCGCTCTCACGGACGGCATCGCAATGCTTACCGACTGGAGCTATCACTTTCTTTACATTGCCCGCATTCGAAGGAAGCAGCGCGAGGTGATTAGGTACGCAGCAACGCCTTCGATCCTAAGAGATGGCATGGCCGAAGAAAATGCACCGCACGCAACTAACAAAATCTCCAGCGCCGTGCTGCAGGGGTCATCTGACCTTTTCGTCTGCCATGTGGTAAAGGCACAGCGCGTCCGACCAATCACACCCAGTCATGCCTCTCCTTTAGCGCATCGGCTCAAGAAATATTGAGGCATTGCAGCTCATAGAGAAGAGAGATGGGGACAGCGGCGCCAACTATGCAATATTACAAGCTTGTCCCGATCGACAAGGCTGCGCAATAGCATCGAAAGCGCCAATCGGTGAGGGAGACATGATACATGGCAGTCCAGAGGAATCATGAAAATGCGCAAGCTGCTGGAGATCGAAAGTTGGACGCTCGAGTGACAGATAGCATTTCGGAAAGCATCGTGCGCAAGTGCTCTGCCGTGCGCGATTGCCAACCAAATCATCTGAGTGGTCCGATCTCGGCACTGGGTGACTGTTCTAGACAGAAGGTGGCGATGGCAAGAACAAAGAAAGCCTACCCTACCTAACCGAACGTCTGTGCCGCTAGGACTTGCACGCCTGAAGAACAAACACAACATCACGTCCATCGGTGTTAGAAGGGAAAATGTATGACCATGTAAACAGAACGTGTTAGAACTGCGCGTGGGTTTCCTTGGATCGGCGCTGGACCCCCTAACTGGCGCGCGGAGCGCTCCAGGGGCGGCGCCGGAGGCGCCGCCAGGGGGGGCCCAATGCCGCGCCAAGAAGTCCGCGCGAAACTCCGACAATTTATGTGTATGCCATATGTTCGACTTCTACTTCCGCCGTCGCCCTGCGCTGCTCCCTTCTTTGACACCTTCTTTTACCAGCCTCGAACGTATCCATATCCCTGAGATTGACACGCCAAAAGGCGATGTCAATCTTAGGGATTCGCCCTCACAAAATGAGGGAATCCCTAAGATTGGCATCGTGATGAGGAGGTGCCCAACATAGGGATAGGGATACGTTCCAGGCTGGTAATTCTTCCGTGCAGGGACGAGCACCGGGATCGAGAGCCACTCCCGCTCGCCTTTTTTTGCGGCCCGCTGGCTCGCTCACGGCTTTGCGCCGGTCCGAGTGTGGCATTCGCGCTGCAGGAGGGTCACCCCTTCCGTGGCCAGCGCCGGGAGGTGCCCCCCCCAGCGCGCACAGAAAGATGGGCCCTCCACCCCGGCATCCCAACCATCTTTCCTCTTCGTCCATCCCGGCTCTCTCGGCACCCTCTCCCCCTCTCATCCCGCTCTCTGCCCCTCGTCCCCCTCACCACGGGCACACGCTAACATGTATTATTACGGATACGTGTGTCTGGCGCGAATCGGGGAAGGTACCTCTCGAAACGGGAGGGCAATGCCGCCTGCTCTGGCGACTGATCGAATCGACTCTGCACGGGAAACGGGACCCGTCGCCAGACCACACGTCTTGACCCATGTTTCTGCACTTGCTCTACTTTCCCCCTCTCTCATCCCACTCTCCGTCCATCGTTCCAATCACCTTCTCCCACCTCGCTGCCCCCCGCTTCCCCCCTCCCTTCTCCCTTCTGCGCCCCCAGCCCCCCCGCTTCCCCCCCTTTGCGCTCCCCGCCCACCCGCCCATCCCTTGAGGGGGAATCGTAGGAAGGGACCGGCTCAGGGGGGATCATTAATTTTGCTTCAGCGAAACATCTCCGATAAATCGGCGATAGCTTCTAATGGCGAATCCGCGCGCTCCTGGGCGGGGTGGGCCATCGGGCCGCTATCGGCAATGAGCGGCCGATTGGGGGTCGATGCGCCCCCCCTGACCCATTCCCCTGGTGGTTTTCGGGCCGTACCTCGGACCTCGAGCGGCAGTTCGGGATGATCCAGGCACCCCTGGAGTGCTCTCGGCGAGACGCAACCAATGGAAGGCTTCCCGAGGCTGAAAGACCGCCGAGAACCCGGGAAATCACCCGAAGAACTCGAACCTCGAACCCCGAGACGTCGTCCCCTCCTGAACCTATCCTTCCTAGCGCTGCCCCTGACCTGCTGTTCACCCTTCTCGCTCCAGACGAGAGGGCGCTCTGCCAGGTCTGCCGGTGCTGGCACTCCCAGCCGAATTCGCGGGCCCGCTTCAGCGCTACAGCGCCAGCATGGGGGCGGGGCCCCAATCCAGCGGGGCCTCGGCACGGAGGCGGGGCCGCTCTTGCGAGGTGAACGGGTCGACGAGAGTCGGGCGTCGCTAGAAGTGGTCCTGGCCCGAGCCCTGAGATCGGGGCGTTGAATTTCGTTTGCACCAAGAGTTTTTGCCTTGTTTCAGGCCTCGGGACCCTCACATGTCGATCTGGTGGACACATTGCGCAGAAAGATGGGCTCCGGGGGCTCTGGTGGCGGTGATGTTTGCGATGCTGCAGCTTATGGGCAACGTGAGATCTGAAGGAGGCGTCCGAGCTTTTCGCGCCGTTTTGGAGTCCCTGGGGCCCTCTGGGCCTCGTGAGGGGGGTGCTCTGGAGGCCATCTGAGCTGGCGCCGCAAGGAGGAGGAGGAGGAGGAGGAGGAGGAGGAGGAGGAGGAGGAGGAGGAGGAGGAGGAGGAGGAGGAGGAGGAGGAGTTCCGAACATAATCAAGGGGCCCAAGGACACACAAATAAATACACACAAATAAGATGGCTCCCCATATTTTTCCATACTTTCTGAGTTTTTGTCTTCCCGCCCAGTTCCCATATTTTCCAATATTTTCCTGAGAATCGGCGATGAATTGTGTCTGTGTGTTTGTTCCCCTCCTGACAGAAGCGCGACGTCGGAAATCTGGGCACGTCTTGCTGGGGGCGTCCAGGGGTGGGCCGCGGACCGGCCAGGCCAGGCTGGCACCACCGTGGTGGGGGGAGCAGCTGGGAGAAAGCTGAAGGGGGACCGGGGCTGCCCTCCTCCTCATCTCCCCCCACCCCTCACCCTCATAGGACATCCGTTTTCTTACTTTTCGCGGTTGCGACCGCTGCCAAGCCCGGCCGCACCCCCCTTCCCCCCCGGTGACGTCACGATTCATGCGGACCTCCCCGAGATGCCTTTGGCTCTTCTTAGGCACTCCCAGACGGCGTCGTCGCGAAACGTGACCTTACCGGCCCCCCGTCCCCCTTACCTCCACGACAATGCCTGCTATCGCCTGGTTGTAAAAACACGCTCTCTAAACAAGTCCTCCTCGTCGCACCACCAGCCGCGTCGATGAGGCGGGATGGGTTTTTCGACGGGAACCTCTTCACAACTTCTGGTCCTGAAGCTTCTGACCCTGATTCTCGCCGTACATTCGCACACATGCGTCTCAAAGGTGTCAAGCGGGTACGACAATATGGAGGGCGAGTGGTTTGTTTTCGAAATATGGCTCTCGACTTGGCGCCACGCGCATCGTCTTAAACATGTGCTGAGGGCAGCAAGGACGGAGGGCGGGCCACTTTCAACTGATGCCAGCGTTGACTCGAAACCGAAAGCTCCAGGCGATTGCCTTCCGCGCCCCCGGGCTGAGGCGCCTGCTTGCGCGACCGTGCCTCCTCCTCCTCCTCCTCCTCCTCCTCCTCCTCCTCCTCCTCCTCCTCCTCCTCCTCACCACCGGCCGCCCAACCCTGGCCGGCGCCCGGTGTGGACGCCGCGCAGGCCTGGCAGGCGCGGCCGGCGCAGCGCTTCCCCCGGGGCCTGCCCCGACGCTGGGCGAGCTCCCCCTGCCCTCGAGCGGCCTGCTCCCGAGGGCGGCAGAAGCCGCCGGAGCGGTCGTGCGGGCCGGGCGGACTTGGTCTGCGTGGGGGCCCGGCGGCAGCCCGAAGTCGGAGGACGACGACGGAGACGAGAGGAGGCGACCAAGGCGACCAGGAGGAGGGAGGAGGGTGACCAATGCAAAAGGCGGAGGAGGAGGAGGACGAGGAGGAGGAGGAGGAGGTGGAGGAGGAGGAGGAGGAGGAGGAGGAGGAGAAAGAAGAAGAAGAAGAAGAAGAAGAAGAAGAAGAATAAGAAGAAGAAGAATAAGAAGAATAATAATAAGAAGAAGAATAATAATAATAATCAGAAGACGAATAAGAAGAAGAAGAATAAGAATAAGAATAATAAGAATAATAATACTAAGAAGAATAATAAGAATAATAATAATAAGAATAATAATAATAATAATAATACTACTAATAATATTAATAAGAAGAAGAAGAATAATAATAATAATAATAATAATAATAATAAGAAGAAGAACAATAATAATAAGAAGACGACGAGGAGGAAGGCGGCGACAATGAGAGAGGCGAGAGGGGATGACGAGGAGGGAGGAAAGGCATCATTCGGCGCAGCTGGCGCACCAGACCCGGGAGGCAGCCGCTGCCTCCCGCCACGATCCCCGGCGCCGCTGGCTGGCAGCGCCGCGCGATCCAGAGGCAGCGCTCTGGCGGGCAGCAAGATGCCCGACTCGCACCAGACCAGGTGCGCCTATGGATGCCATGACGATGGGCACCCTACCCGCTCTGTCATTGAATTCAGAATGTCAGTAAGATGTCTTACGCATGTTCGAAACATGTTCAAAACGGGCTTCAGCACTTTAAACACATCTTCAAAACATGTTTTAGACACCTGGGAATTCATTGGCCATCTGCGTCCTCTCCATTGGTCGTCTTCCACAGAGGTACAGAAGGGGCGTTGACCTAAGGAACCCTAAATAAGGAACGAGCCCCATTTTTTCCCTAAGTTAAACTTCGATTTCCGATCGAAAACATAAGGGAAGCCTGAGGCAAGCTGTGAAACACTTAAGGAACGCGGAGCGCCTTCCCAACGAAAAGGGTTCCTTCTTCAGGGCCCCGACTGTAAACTTAGGTCGGGCATGTCCTCCTCCAGGCAGATCTTGGACGACAAAGAAAAAGTAGTCCAACGAATGCTCGAAAACAGTAAGAGGATTGGTGAACAGTCGCCCACGGACAATTTTTTAACTGTTTTTGAAGATTCCCGCTCTGGAGGGGCGTGCCCGACATAACCCAAGGTTGTCCGTGCCCGTGAGGGCCCGCTCGGCCAGGCCAGGTGGGGGCGCCCATTCCGCCACCGGGGCAGCGCGCAGCGTCTCGGCGCCCAGGCGTCGCGCAGGCAGGTGGTGCAGGCCTGGCGCTTCGCGCCCGCACAGGGCACGGGTGATTGGCATGCGGGTGGCCGCCCTGCCCCAGCTCGCGCTTGGCAGCTCGGACGTGGCCCGCGCCGTGCACCAGGCGCGGTGGAAGCGCCACTGGGACTGGGCCTGTCCCCAGGAGGCCCGCCGAAGGTCCGCCGGCCACGTCTGCTGCAAGGGGAGCCATCGGTGCTGCGACGGGCAGCAACGGGGCTCCGTTCAGCTTGGCCAGCGGCTCGCCGAACCGCTCCCGCTCCACCTCGCGCACGCGAGGAGGAGGAGGAGGAGGAGGAGGAGGAGGAGGCGGAGGCGGAGGAGGAGGAGGAGGAGGAGGAGGAGGAGGAGGAGGAGGAGGAGGAGGAGGAGAAGGAGGAGGAGGGGGGGGGGATGACAGTGGACTGCGCCCATCGCCGGACTGCACTGGGCCGAGCCGCGCGCCCGCCCTGCACAGGGCGGCCGCCCCACCCCCACGCCCTGCGCCACCGCTGCCGCGCCCTGGAGCCGAGCAACTGCGCCCCGAGCTGGCGCGGCCTGGACGGCCGGCGCGACGGGCGAGTCCCCCAGCAGCACCAGCAGCCGAGCCCCTGCCAAGATGGTGCGCTGGGCGACTTTGGCGGCCACTCTGGTCAGCAGCCGCGGCTCCCTAGGAAAACCCGGAGACGACCCCCGTCGCCAAAGGACGTGCCAGGAGGGAGCCCAAGGGCGGCCTTCGCCACATCATGGCACGCGTGGTTCAACTGCGCCACGGCCGTCTTCCACCCGCGCGCGTGGCTCGCCAGCAACTCCGTGCCGTGCAGCGCTGCGGACTCGGCGCGACAAGGGGCCTGGCCGACGACTATGGGGAGACCGACCCACCGGACCGTGAAGGCGGCCGTCCACCGCCGCGCGCCGTCCCGCAGCAAGACGCAGACGCGGCTCGGAAGTGGCTCCATGGTGAGCTCAGCGTCCGCATGGATGCCAAGGGCCTCCAGCTGGCTGACGGCGCGGACCCGACGCCACCGGCGCTGCCGCAACGGCTGACGTCAACGGCGGGCGCGCCCACTCCCACGAGGCCGCCAGGCCTTTGCTGCCGTCCTGAAAGCAGTGGCAGTAAGTTGCTGGGGAAGGGCAAGGGGGAGGGGCCCTGTTTTCTGGGTGCGCAGGATGTTTCCGACGTGTCGCGAGATGTTTCCCAAACAAGCGGCCGTAAAACGCGCTCTCTCCGAAACCCCGATGCACTGGACATTACAACGCGTTCGCGCTCACGAAGCTGCAGTGCTTTACAAATTACTACGCCTTCCAGCCCCTTGCAAATTACGACGAGATTCCACCCCGAGGTCCCGAACTGCCCTCACGGAAGCTGCCTAGAAGCTCCCCCCCCTCCTGAGCAGAAAACTGGAATTCTCTGTGTTGGGATATGTGTTCTGGGAGCGTTTTCGACCCCCCCCTTCGTCTCCTGAGAATTCGGCTCTGGAACCAAAGTCACGAATGCTCCAACATAGCCAGGGTTGCGCGCTCCCGAAGCCGGGAGCCCTCAGTGGAAAAGCGCGCTCCCAAGGCCACCCCCCCCAATCAATTGCTACAGACGCGCGCAACCAACTGGACACCAAACAGCCCAAACCAGCTGCCAGCAATCATCGGGGATGGACAGAACCCCCTTTGGCAAAACGTGGTTTAGGGAAAACGACCTCGGGCCCCAACCTGGCGGGCGCAAGCCTGGAAAATCACGGCCGGGGCGCCCTCTCGAGAACCGAACACGGACAATCCACTCATCGACGTGTCGGGGTGGGGGCCCTGCCCGCCCCCGAAATCAACTCAGACAACAAGTCAACCAGCCGACCCAGAGATCCGATGTCGTGATTTTTTCAAGACGGGGTCCCCAGAAGTCTCGACCCATTCCCCAGGGCCGGTTTTTCATCCTGAGTCGTTTTTTGACGGTTCCGGGGCCCGGCGAGGGCCCCTGGGGGCCGAAACTTGCGAAAAACCTCCGCCTTGATATTTTCAATGCGTTGGATCCCTGGGGAGCTGCTGGCCAGCCGACCGGCACGAGCACCCGCCGACCTGCCGACCCCACGCGGCCGCGCAGGCAACCCTCCAAGGGGGGGCGGCGGCGGCAGAGGGCCGGAGCCCTGCACCTAAGGCACGCTCAGGTGCCACCGCGGCCGACGGCCAGGGCTGAAGGGGCCCCAGGACACAAATAAATACACACCCAAACAGAACTCCCATATTTTCTTATATTTTCTGGGTTTCTGTCTTCCCCCCCACTTCCCACATTTTCTCATATTTTCATAGGATTCGACGATTCATTGTGTCTGTGTGTTGTTTTCCCTCCTGGAGGGCTGCCTCCACCATGCCCACCGAATCTAGCCCCCCAATCGGAAACTGGAACATACACGCCGGTCGGAAGAAGTATGTAAAAACATGGAGTAGGAAGGCGGATCAGGTAGATTGGGTTCAGGTCCTCCCAGAGAATAACAGAACACAGCAAAAGCATGCCGCCTCTTGAAGTAGGAAGGCGCTTGAAGCAGATTGGGATCTGGGAGTCCAAAAATACCTACTTTCAACGACCGGCGTGTATGCATTTCCCATGACTTTCTGAGGGTCGGGGACGACGTCGGGGCGGTGTGGTGTATACTGTTTCCCGGTTTTCCAAAAGGAAGCAACGAAAAATGTATACACAAGGATCCCGTGTGCACCAACATCCGCGTTCCTGTGCGAATTTCAGTGCAGAGTCGGAAAAAGCGTCGGTATAGAGTTCGTTTCCCTACTCAAGCGAGCCAAGACCCCCACGCGATCCACACCCTCACGCTTATTGAGCGACCTGGAGTACGGGGGCTTGGCTCGACTTGACGCACCCCTGACGCCGTGGCGACGACGCCTCGTCCAGGGGGCGGCTCGCTGTGCAGCCACGACCCAGAACTGCTGGCGTCGCCATTTTTTCAAAACGTGGACCCCAGAAGTCTGGACCCCTTCCTGGGAACAAGCTTTCCATGCCGAATACTTGTTGACGGTCCCAGCGCCTGGCCAGGCCCCCAGAACCCAGTACCAAAACCGTCCGTCAACTAGGAAGACGGGGACAACAACGACGACGACGACATGGACGACGACGAGGTACAGCGCCAGCAACAACAACACCCTGAAGTCCAGCATTGCGAACAAACTGCAACATCGCGAAAAACACGTTGATACGTCAGGGTCCTGGGGCCCGAAACTGGATTCGGGCCGGGCGAAAGGGGGGGGATGGCAAAGGGGAGGATTGAGAATCAGATCGCGTAGCTGATTTTCCCGGCGCCTCCCGGCGCCGGGAGGCGCTCATGTATCGAGGAACGGGCTCCTCGGTGGGGCCGAAACCAGCTGCATGCAGCAGATTTCGTACCCCCCCCTTTCCATCCCCCTCTTTCGTGTGGCCCGATGGATAACAACGCCCAGTTCCCAGAGATCCGATGTCGTGATTTTTTCAAGACGGGGTCCCCGGAAATCCCGACCCATTCCCCAGGACCGGTTTTTCATCCTGAGTCGTTTTTTGACGGTCCTGGGGCCCGGCGAAGGACCCTGGGGGCCGAAATTAGCGAAAAACCTCCGCCTTGATTTTTTGCAGTGCGTTGGATCTCTGGGTTTGAAACAATGCGACGCCCGGATCTCAGGGGAAGCCCCGCGCGGGGAGGGCCGGGCCCGGTGCCAGCTCCATCTGCCCGGGCATCCGCGGCATGGGTGGCGGCTGCAGCGGGTTCACGCCGGCCCGGGTCGGCCCTTCCAGGCCGAAGTCCCCCGCGGGCCCGGTTCCTGGGCGGGGGCCCTCGGGGGGAGGAGGGCGGAGGAGGGGAGGAGGAGGAGGAGGAGGAGGAGGAGGAGGAGGAGGAGGAGGAGGAGGAGGAGGAGGAGGAGGAGGGGAGGAGGAGGAGGAGGAGGAGGAGGAGGAGGAGGAGGAGGAGGAGGAGGAGGAGGAGGAGGAGGAGGAGGAGGAGGAGGAGGAGGAGGAGAGGAGAAGGAGGAAGGAGGAGGAGGAGGAGGAGGAGGGAGGAGGAGGAGGAGGAGGAGGAGGAGGCGCGCGCACCCCCAGGAGAGAAACGCAGGGCCGCTCTGACGATGTCATTTTGCGAACACTCCATCTTGTGCCACGGCCGCTGCGTTTGGGGGCGAGCGGACGAGAGGCACGAGAGCTTCGGAAGGAAAAACAGTGAGCGAAAGTGGACAAAACATTCTGACAACCCAATCCTCCCGAACCGAAGGGAAGTGTAGTTATCGAAAAGTATGTTCACTGCGCGCCTTCGAGACCAAGATCGAGGCAAACGTGTGGACCAGACGGGCAGGGTATGGCATCGCGATGACAGTCCAGCGAACTCCCCCAGGACCGGCTCCCTCGAGGTGCTGGTGGGGACGCCCAGCGCGGCTGCAGACACCCCGTCCAGGACAGATCCGACTGAGTTTTGTCGGGTCTTCCGCTGGGACGTTTCCAACCAGAAACCGAATTCTCTTTCTCCAAGGCTTTCCCCAGAGGCAATAGTCTGTGGCGACAGAGACGGCGCGGCTACGCGCAGCAACAACTTTCAGTTTGTAATCATGCCACATCTTAAAGGTATGAGGGTTCTCGAGAACCCAGGGGACCCCGGCGAACTGGGCGGACCTGGCCAGATCGAGAGCTGCGTCCAGCGTGGCGCTGCCAAGAGCGACCTTGGCCAGGTCGCGGGCGTCGAGACCCGGGATCCCCCTGATAAACTTGCGAGACCGAATTGGGTAAGTCCAATCCCGCGCAGCTGACCACGAGCTGCAGGGTGGAGCAAGCATCGAGCCGATACAACGGCCACGGGCGAGGTCCTGTTTGATAGGCCCGCGGACTCTGGGATCGCACAGGTCTGAAGACGGCCCGTGGAGGAGGTCCCATTCACGAACATTAAGCCCAGCCAGACGAATTGTCTTGCTCACAACCCCGCAGCCTGAAAAGCAATCAGCACTGTATGTCTCATCCACACATGCTGACGACAGAAAACAAGAGGGGCGCGCCTGCCGAGGAACGCATTCCCGAGCAGTGACTCGCAGCGCGTGCAGTGGCTTCTGGTCAGGGCGCCCAGCTTCCCGAACTCGAGACTTACGCGCGCATGCTTCTCGTGCCGAGCAACAGACTTGAGCTTGCGCCAGCGCCCCTTCTTCATCACTTCTGGCAAACCGCGAAGGTCGCGAAGCCGGTCGTGCGAGGCTCCGCTGTGCCCGGGCTGGTAGGGCACTAGCTTCAGCCCGAGCGTCGCGTTGGCAGCCCTCGCGTCGGCCAGCAGGTCCTGGTAGGTGAACGGGAAGGCCCGCTCCGCCGCCGGCCTCGAGTTGGTCTCCCTCCCTCCAAACCCCGACATGGCATCGCTCAAGTTGAGCGATGCCATGTCCAGCTGGAGGCTGTCGTCGAGCACTCCCACCTTGGTTGGGATCCCCAGCTCCTCTGGGGCAAGCAGCAGGCGCCAGTGTCTGGAGACCCCATTCACTGGGGGTACGAAGTGGCCACACCTGCTGTTCAGCAGCTCCGACGGCCTCAGGTAGCACATGAAGCCCAGCAGGACTGCCGCCGCCTTGTAGCGCTTGCCTCGCGCCAGCAGCCAATGGCAAACCGCCGCCAAGACGCAAAAGCACATCGGGTAGCGGCTCCAGCCAGGGCACGGACGGCGCCAGCCTTTCGCCGCCCTCCACGATCGTGGGAGACAAAGCTGGCCAACCTTCCCAAACTCTGGGAGGACACCCGCCAGCAGCTTCTCCCCCACGTTGGCCCGCTTGCCAGAAAGGATCAGCTCCGTCATGTGGATGCACAAGGCCCCGTCCGGCTGGGATGGCGGGCGGAGGCCTAGGCGCCGCTGCTTCGCCCAGTCGTAGAACCGGGAGACCAGGAGGTGGTAGTAGTCCCTGGTCTTGGTCTGCACGGCGCAGGACTCCAGCAGGGTCCCCAGCTGGTCCATGGCCTGGCGGGCGGAGACGAGGTACATGAGGTGCGCCTGCGTTTGCGCCAGCCCATCGTGGCGTCGTCCAGGTCGTCGCTGTCTGAGCTCTCCACTGCGACCACCGCCTCGCCGCTGCCCAGGTCGGCGTCGGCCCCCGCGAGGCCGACGCTGAGCAGGGGCCCACCGAAAGCCTCCTTCGCCGACGGGCCCTCCAGCTTCGGCGCCTGCCGCTGGCTCGGCAGCGCTGGCACTGCTGCGTTCAGGGTCCGCTTCTTGCTCTGGACCTCCGCTGGCGGCTGCGCCGGGGAGGTGAGCTGGGGCTGGCGGGCCGGCGCCGGTCTCGCCGGCGCGGGCGCGGCCAGGCGCGCCAGCCGCTCGGGGGCCGCGGTCCGCCGCGAGACCGCAGGCCTGCGGCCGAGGCCCGCCTCCATCAGCGTCTCGCGATGGGTCGTCGGCTGGATTGAACTCTGACTTGATCCAGCGGAAATGCGGGCGAATGTTATGAATAAGACACAAGGCGCGAAAGCGCCGAATCTGCCACAGCACTAGTTGTTGCAGCTTCCCCGAGCGAACGAGAGCGTGATAGCCATGTTGTCGATCAAGAAAAGGTTACGACTGTTTCGAACTCCCTCGGCGATCAGACTCTCCAGTCCTAGAACTAGTGCCCGAGCTTCTAACTCCAGAACGCGTTCTACAAAGTTCCTCTGACCCTTCACATGCAGCACACATGCAGCACACATGCTGCACACAAGCAGCACACACGCAGCACACACGAAGCACACATGAAGCACACATGAAGCACACATGCACACACACATGCACACACACATGCACACACATGCACACACAGGCACACACATGCACACACATACATATACACATATACACATACACCCATATACACATACACTCATACACACCTACCTACCTACCTACCTGACTACCTACCTACCTGTCTACATACATACATACATACATACATACATACATAAATGCAAACACACATACATACATACATACACACATACACACATACACACATACACACACATACATACATACATACATACACACACATACATACATACATACATACATACATACATACATACATACATACGTACATACATACATACATACATACATACATACATACATACATTACATAGCTACATAGCTACATTACATACATACATACATACATACATACATACATACATACATACATACATACATACATACATACATACATACATACACACATACATACATACATACATACATACATACATACATACATACATACATACATGCATGCATGCATGCATGCATACGTACATACATACATACATACATACATACATACATACATACATACATACACACATACACACATACATACATACATACATACATACATACATGCATGCATGCATGCATGCATGCATGCATACATACATACATACATGCGTACATACGTACGTACGTACATACATACATACATACATGCATGCATACATCCATACATACATACATACACGCATACACACCTACACACCTACCACACATACACACAGACACACAGACACACACAGTCAGTCATCACCCCCATCTTCGACGCCCACTGATTCTCGGGTCACAGCTCTGGCCTGCGGCGGCCGACCGGTGCGATCTCGGCACCCCTGGACGCCTCTCGACGAGGCGTCCAACTGCAAGGGGGGGAGCAGATTCCGAGACGAGAAGCGCGCCGACAAAAACCGACGAGCGCGCCCGAAAACCTCGAACCTCAAACCTCGAAAGCTGCCTCTGGCATCACCCCCCCTCTTGGCCGCCCCCGGAAGCTGCACGGAAGGACCACGTGGCGAGGACAGAGCAGCGCCCGCCGCGGCCGCGGAGGTCCCGAGAAGGCCGCCCGGAGCGGCGGCAGCGTGCACATGTTCGGCCGGAACAGCGGCGGCAGGTTCATACCTGCGCCGCTGGAGCGTTCCCTCCCCGCCCTCCTCCTCCTCCTCCTCCTCCGCCTACTCCTGCTCCTCCTCTTCTTGGTACTCCTCCGCCACCTCATCCTGCCTCCCTCTTCTCCTGCCTCCCTCCCCTCCCTCGCCTTCCATCTTCCTCCCCGTCCTCCATGCTCCTCCCTCCTCCCTGCTCCTCCTGCTCCTCCTGGTCCCTGCTCCCTGCTCCCTGCTCCCTGCTCCCTGCTGCTCCTCCTCCTCCTCCTCCTCCTCCTCCTCCTCCTCCTCCTCCTCCGCCTCCCTCGTGCCACTCCTGTCACCACCGTCGTCCTCCTCCCACCGCGAGCTGCCACAGCCGTCGGCCCCCCCTTCGAGGAGGGCTGGCGCGAGGGGGGGCGGGCGGGCACCGATGGGCGGCAGGCTCATGGCGGAGCCGTCGGGCATCCTGCAGGAGACCTTGCCGGGGAGGAGGGGGGCTGCGGGCGAGGGGCGGCGGGGGCAGAGCGAGGCCGGGCTGCGATGGGAGGCTGATGCAGGGCTCCGCTCCCCTCGCCCCCCCCCCGTCCTCCTCTCCTCTCCCCTCTCCCTCTCCCTCCCCTCCCCTCCTCGCCCCCCCCCCCCCGTCGCCCCCCCGCGTTGCACCACCGTCGTTCCGGTGCTCCTCCTCCCTTTGCTCTGCCCTTCGCCTTCCTGCTCCAGCTTCCTGCGCCATCCACCTCCGTCCTCCTACCTCCTGCCTCCTCCTCCTTAAGCCTCCTCCTCCTCCTCCTGCATCCTGCTACATCTGTATCCTTCGTCTCCTGCTGCAGCGAAATCCCTTTTCCTTCTGGATAACTCGTTCATGTTGCACCGCCAAACGTGCCCGTAGAACGGTGCCACGCTTGTTGGCCTGAGACTTCCGTAAGAATTACGACCCTGATGTTTAAATTCGCAACAGTTACACGGATACATCACAAGTGGCTTTCAACATGGGGATCTCGCCTGGGCGCCGCGTACATGCGTCTTCACTCCTCGTAATACATACAAGGACGCGGACCGTTTTCAAGATGGGGTCCTCGCCCTAGCCCCGCGCACAATCGTATTCAAATTGTGCAGCAGCTGAAGTATGTACAACGGTTCCTTTCCAACATGGGGCTCTCGCTCGAGACTTCCACGGACAATTCATCACATGTAGCACCTGTGCGGATGGAGGGCGGCTCCTCCTGAGAACCGTGCTCATGCCTGAGTCTTCCTCGATGCTCAGGGCTCGAAGCGCAACCTTGCGCAACCGCTGCGCGGGTGGGGCAGTCCTTCTTGAAAGCGATGGTCTCGCTGGACGCCCTCCCGAGCTGCACGATCATACAGTCGGGGCGTTCACCTAAGGAACCCTAAATAAGGAACGAGGCCCCTTTTTACCATAAGTTAAACTTCGATTTCCTATCGGAAACATAAGGGAAACCTGAGGCAAACTGTGAAACACTTAAGGAACGCGGAGCCCCTCCCCAACGAAAAGGGTTCCTCCTTCAGGGCCACGACTGTATCTCTTCGCATTCCTGCGTGCACGCCGGAAGGGTGCGAGGCGGCTCCTTTTCAGAACGGTGCTCTCGCTCGAGCGGCACGCCCACGGGGTGCTCGTCTTTCACGGGGGGCGCCTCCTGCAGTGAAGGGGAAGGCTTGTGCAGAATCATGAGGGGGGGACTTCGGATGGGAGAGTGCACTGCAGCATCGCTGACGCATCGTGGGCTTACTCTGGTCCTCTTCCTCTTCCTCCTCATGCTCCTCCTACTCCTGCTCCTCCCACGTACATCCTCCTCCTCCCCCCATTTCCTCGTCCTTGCCCTTGTAAATAAACTGCTCCTCGCCTGACCACCAGACGTGTCGTGGCAGGGCGGGCCGGACGTTTCGCCCGAGACGTCCTCACAGCATCCGATCCTGTATGGCCCACAGTGACAAGGCTGGACGGCTGCTCGTTTCAAACTGAGTCTCTCTCTCGCCCTAGCGCCACGCGCACTCGTCTCAAACCACGTGCAGCACGTGCAAAAAGAACACACTCTGGAGCTGCCGCCGGAGAACTCCGCAAACGAATCTATCGAGCGTAACATTTGAAGGGGAACTGGGACACACAAATCAATATACGCCGATACAACTATCCCCCACATTTCCTCATATCTTCTGGGTCTTTGCCTTCCCCCCCACCTCCCATATCTTCCCATGTTTTCTGGGAATCGCCGATTAATCGCGTCAATGTGTTTTGTCCCCCTCCTCAACATTGCGCAACCGCTACTCCAGATTTCGTAACAAAAGGGAGGGGGTCTGGACCCTCCAAGACAAGCCATTTCAGACCCCCCCCCGTGGGAGAACCCTCCAAAACATCGTCCCCAGACCCCCCCAGGCCCTCCAGGATAGCCTGGAAGAGACCCCCCCCGAAATGAGACCCCCCGCCCTTTGTTACGAAATCTGGAGTAATCGTGTCAATGTGTTTTGTCCCCCTCCTCAACATTGCGCAACCGCGACAGGGACGGAGGGCGGCTCCCCTTCAGAGTGGGGATCTCGTGTTTCGAGGGGGGCGCCCCCCGCAGCGAGGAGGGCGGCGCGCGGGGGCGTCGGAGACCGGAGCTCTGGGACTGGAGCGCATACTGCAGCATCGTTGGTACATCTTGGGTTTGCGCTGGCCCCCTCCTCCTCCTCCTCCTCCTCCTCCTCCTCCTCCTCCTCCTCCTCCTCCTCCTCCTCCCTCCTTCCCATCCTCCTCGTCCTGCTTCTCCTCCTCCCTCCTTCCCATCCTCGTCCTGCTTCTCCTGCTCCCTCCTCCTCTTTCCCATCTCCTCCTCTTTCCCATCTCCTCCTCTTCCTCCCCCTCCTCTTCCTCCTCCTCCTCTTTCCTCCTTCTCCTCCTCCCCGGCCATTTCCTACTGATTCTCTCCTCTCTCATCCCTCCTTCCCGTCCTCCTCCTTCCCTTCCTTCATCCCTCCTCCTCCTCCTTCTCCTGTTCCTCATCCTCCTGTTCACCCTCCCCCTCCTCCTCCTTCTCCTGCCCCTCCTCCTCCTCCTCCTCCTCCTCCTCCTTCTAATAGGTGTCCCAGCATTTTCCAATGCAAGGAATGCTTGGCTCTTGCTCCGACCCCTGCCAGCCTCACCAAGCTCCTCCAAGGACCGTGCGCGTCCACGGCCCAACAGGGGCTCAGGGATACGGCGGATTTTGCAGACCTTCCCACCAATGCGCACTGCAGTGGTGGAGGCTGCCCTTGAGGCCCCCAGTGTTCTCGACCCTGTGGCTGGGGTAAAGGTGAGCGCTGCCTCCGTCGGGGTGTCTGCTGCGCCCGCTGCAGCTATCGTCGAGCTCCACGGGCACCAGGTTCTGGTGACCCCCGCGACCATGGTTCGCACCACATGTGGCTCTTCTCAAATGCCCCAAAGGTAAGTGGCTAAGTGTAGGCTCGACTCCGAGTGTCCAGGACACTCCGGCCACGGAGAGCCACACGTTACAGGCAGAATCACAATTTGTTCGCCATCAGGGCGGGGCGGCATCCAAAGTCACGACAACCCCTCGTATCCGTTCTTTTTGTTATTTGAAAACGCATACACACATATATATATATATATATATATATATATATATATTATATATATATATATATATATACATACATATGAAGCAACAGCAAATCCTGACGCTGTCGCGTCTTGCTGCTTTACTTTGTCTGCAGGGTGAGCGGCTCATGAGTTGGCCCGTGCTCCCGTCGGCTGCACGACTGCACGACTCGGCCAGTCTGGTGGTCCTCCTCCTCCTCCTCCTCCTCCTCCTCCTCCTCCTTCCTTCTCATCCACCTCCTGCTGATATATGCCGTGGCAGTGACGGCGGCGCATCTCGGAGCAGGGCGAGTTGAGACAGATGCAGCCTCAGGGGTCCAACTGCACCAATGTTTCGAGCTGCGTCCGGCCGCGTCGACGAGGCGGCCGCCTGAAGGTCAGTTACCGTTGTCTGAACACGCTCGGGCGAAGAGAACTATGCACATGCACCGATCCTGGCAAGGCCCATCCTTGACCCAGGATCGGTGCATATGCCTTCCTGGCCAAGGTAGGAGGGCGTATGCACCGATCCTGGGCTCAGGATGGGCCTGGCCAGAATCGGTGTATGTGCATAGTTCTTTTTCCTCTACACGCCCTCCTCTGAGCCGAGAGGATCGAGCGAGCGGCAGGGTGCCGGGCGGCAGGCTGGCTGGCGGCAAGCAGTCGGAGGCACCCCCCGGCGGGGGCGGCACCGCTGCCACACGCGCGCGCGCAGCGACACACGGCGTGTGGCAGGGGCGGCGATCATGGGCCGGCATCTATGGAGGAGCAGAAATCGGGAGCGGCCAAGAGGGGGGTGTCCAAGAGGGGGGGGTGCAAATCATGACCGGCGGCATGTGCGCGGCCCAGCGGGGGGGCCAGGGACGTAATGAAGTAAGAAGGGGCGCCATGAGATCTGGGGAGATATCATGGCCCCCGCCATGATATCCACCCCCCCCTAGTCATCACCCCCCTCTTTTCCGCTCCCGAAGAAAACTGTGTAAACATCGACCTTCGGAAGTCCGCGCGGATAAATCGCGATGCCAAATTTCGGGCCATGTGCAACCTTCGGGGGCCCTCGCTGGGCCCCGGGACCGTTAACAAAAAGACTCGGAGCGCACCGCCGGTCACAGGGAAGGGGTGTAGACCTTCGGCGTCAACGTTGTGACAAAAATCACGACGTCGGGGATCCAGGCTAGCTGAAAGAGAAGCCCTGAACACAAACTTCGACATCTTCGAGTGTCATCCCCGTCCGTCTCTGCAGCACTCTGCGGCTTTCATGGGTTTCCTATCCAGGAGCGCTGCTACGCCTGCCCCACACCGAGGCCAGTCCATTCGTGATGAGCAGATGCCGCCATCTGGTACAAAGCGGGAGGGGTTCGAACCAGTATGCCTGGCATGTGATCGGCCCTGTCAGAGGCCTTGCTCACAATGAATAAAAGAGTAAAGGTTTCTCTCGCCACATGCCCAAGACTTGCTTCGCTCATTCCAGGTGCGCCAAATGTGAGGCTCGATGTATGTTCGCTGTTCTACGCAACAACCTTGATGCATTTCTAATATGCTGCGTGGGGTCTCCCTGGTTTTCTGGGCATCTGTGCAACAACCTCGATGCGTGTCGGGGGCGGCGCGCGGGGCTTCGATGGTTTGACTCGATTAATGTTTCGGGGCAATGCGCATGGTTTCGATGGTTTTTTGGGGGGGCTTACACGCATCAGCCGGGATGCATTCTGGGTATAGTGTGCGGGGCTTCGATGGTGAGGCCGAGCCGATGAGTTAGGCCTTGATTGCTTGTCTGGGAATGCGCTGTTGGGAGATTCATTTAACAAATGTGTTCAGGGATTCGCGCAGGAAGCCTTTTGGGATGCGTGATGGGGTCCTGAAGGTATTCCAATCCTGGGGGTCCGTGGGGGGATCGTGATGGATCTCCGAGGGACGTTTGAGGGAACCCCGAAAGACTCCATCATTCCATCTGGAAGCTTGAAGGTTTCATAATGGAATCCTGTTGGATTCCACGGGAATTCCTGAAGGATTGGTGAAGAATCCCTTGGGGGTCCTCAGGTGTCTGTGAAGAATCCTTCAGGACACCAGAGGAATCACACCAGCCCTTCTGGGCGCAAGTGGTTTACCGCGCTTCTTCTTCCAACCCTTTTCTCCCCCTTCGGGGAAGGGCTGGCCCCCGCCCTTTAACCCCCTCCCCGTGGACCTGGGCGGGGAAGTTTCGCGACCCACTGGAGCCTTGAAAATAGCCTTGGCGAGAACCCGCGTATACGGTTTCTTCTCTCAAGTTTTCGGCCCAGTTTGGGCTCCAAGGGGGGGCTGTAATTTACGACCCCCCTGTTTTCAAAGTTTGCCATACATCTCCACGTCACTGGAACATGCAAGACGTATTGCGCACCCGCGTTGAAGCCTTTGTCGGGCACCCTTTGGTCTGGAACTGTGTATGCCCGATTTCTCGGGCACCCCTTTGTCCTGTCCGTCTCCAGCGTTTCGGCGTGCGTGGCTGGCGATCCTCATCAGGACATGCCACAACCAACAACATGGGGCAAGCCGACGCTGTCACGAACGACGCCTCCGTGTCCGACTTTGTGAAACACCGCTGTGTGCAACACCCGACACGCTAGACTCTGTCAAGCGGGCTCAACGCGATAAGCGTGGACAGTTGCAGTGCCAGCGTGAACCTGGGCCTGGCTTTTCGGCCTTCAGAGAAGGCAAGAAACAACTGCCCCTCTTTCGTGACATCGCGGCCTCCCGGCGAATGCATTGGTGGCGGATGCCAACCGCGGCCCGAGGGAATGAGCCACCTGGCCCTTGGCATCAGGCGCTCGTGGGGCCCCTCGCTCGGGAGACCCGTCCTGGCCTCCGCGGCCGTCGGGGCCCAGCTGCCGGCATCGCACGCGCACGCGGCAACGGACTCAGAACGCACCTGCGAAGCCCCTCACCTTGAAGCGACCATAGCTCCCTGTCTGACAGCTGGGGCGGAACGCCAAAAACACTGGTCTCAAGACGACGGCGCCGCTTGGACGCTGAGCCCCGGCGCCGAAGTCGAGCTCTGGCGAAACTTTCGGCTGATAACCAGAAGCTTGCCAAACATCTCCACGTTACTGGAACATACAAGACATCTTGCGCACCCGCGTTGAAGTCCTTGTCGGACACCCTGTGGTCTGGGACTGTGTATGCCCTATTTCTCTGGCACCCCTCGTCCTGTCCGTCTCTATCGTTTCGGCGTGTGGCTGGCGATCCTCATCAGGACATGCCACAACCAACAACACGGGGCAAGCCGACGTTGTCACGAATGACGCCTCCTTGTCCGACTGTGTGAAGCATCACTGTGTGCACCACCCAACTCTCCAGAAGATGTCAACCGGGCCCAGTGCGATGAGCACAGACAGTTGAACTGCATGCGTCAACCCATAGGGCCTGGCTTCTGTAGGCTTCAGAGAACGAAACATGTTTTGATCGATCTCCTCCAAGGCCGCACCAAGATGGCCCCCGAGGCCCCCAAGAGTGCCCCCAAGGGCCCCGGGATGCCCAGGAAGCCCCAAGAGGCCCCAAGAGGCCTCCAAGAGGCCCCTAAGAGGCTCCCAAGAGACCCCCAAGAGGCCCAATGAGGCTCTAAGGGGCTCCCCCGAGACAGCCAAGACGATCTAGGAGGCCCCCCAGGGTCCAGGCCCCCAAGACGCTCCAAGAGAACTCGCAGAAACTTTCAAGGGACATTCGAAGAGACTCCGAGAGGCGTCCAAGAAACTTCTGGCCATTCTGCTCGCCCTCTTCATCCTCCTCCTTTGCCTCGTCTTCCTCATCCGCCTGTTCCTCCTCGTCCCTCCTTCGACCCACTTCCACTCCCCCTCCCCTTCCTCCGATTCATCCTCCATCCTCCCCCTCTTGGGGAATGACGGCTTCACCAACCCCTGATAACACTGCATGCTCCTCCGCACCCCTGATCAGGGCAACTCGCTTGGCTTGTGTTTCTAGATGTGCTGGTGGGGCTGCACGAAGCGTATCGAACTTCCAGAAACCATCCGAAATCCTTCAGCAATTCGTCCGTGATCCTGTGGAATCCTCTGGAGTCCAGAAAAATCCTTCAGGGACCTAAGGAAGTCTCAGGAATCCATCGAGGAGACGTCGGGCGAACAACGCAATGTCAACGGGGGGAAGGGGGGTACCCAGGGCGCGCCGCGCACGGAAAGTCGGCCCAGAAAACCCCCAAACCTGGCTTCCGACGGCGTCAGACGGGCCAGGAACGCCCTCAGACTGCCAAAGAGCATCCCAAGGATGCCCCCTAAAGCCCCCAGGAGGCCCAAGGAAGCCCCCAAGAGGCCTCCAAGAGGCTCCCAGGAAGCTCCCAGGAGGCCTCAGGAGTGCCCAAAGATGCTCCCAAGCAGCCTCCTTCTCCTCGTGTTTCCCTCTCCTCCGCTTCTTCTTTCTCCCCCACGTGGTCCTCGAAGGGGGTCCACAACGGCTGGGGGAACACATAGTCCGATAGCTTGGCCGAACTCTGGCCGCATCGTTCGACCAGATAGGCGTTTCCAAAGGCAAGTGGCGGCGGTGATTTGCCGTCGGGGCCTTCGATACGCTCGTAAGATTCATATGCTCCGCCCGCATGTGGACAAAAGTGCACTCGTCATCACATCCGCTATGCAATCGCACGCGGGCATGTGCACTGCTTCTCCGTCTGGGATGTCTGAGCTTTCGTTCCTAGTGCGCGCGCTGAGTCTGTGTGCGATGCACAGAATCAGAGGGAGGTATGGGAGGGGGCAGTGCTGAACGACTATTGCACACCACCACATCACGTCATGCTGCGCTTTCCCTGATTCCGCCCCCTCCACAACT